AGGGGCTGATGATGTCGGTCTGGGTGATACTGGTCATCTGGCTGGGGTTAAACTGGCCGCACTGGGAGCACTGGGAGCACTGGGAGGGGCTGATGATCATATTGGGAGGGGCTACTGGTGTTACTGGGAGGTTACTGGTCATACTGGGAGGCTCAGGATGTCCAGCAGGACCCGTGAGCAGAGTTACTGGGAGCAAGTCTGTACTGGTTTGTACTGGTTTATACTGGTCTGTGCTGGTCTGTACTGCTCTATACTGGTTTATACTGGTCTGTACTGGGGTCCTTGATGGACAGGGTGCCCCGGAAGTCCCTGAGGATCTCCAGGAGCACCCAGGACCAGAGTTACTGGGGTCAGTCTGTACTGGTTTATACTGGTCTGTACCTATCTATGGTAACCTATAATGGTCTGTACTGGTCTGTACTGGTCTATACTGGTCTGTACTGGTCTCACCTGAGGTCCTTGATGGACAGGGTGCCCCGGAAGTCCCTGAGGATCTCCAGGAGCACCCAGGACCAGTAGCTCCTGTAGCTCAGCTTGCCCAGGTCCGACAGCGGCTTCTCCGGGGAGCCCACGGTGCTCTCCAGCTTCGACAGCTCATAACCTAAAAATGGGGGTCAGGGACCCCAAAAACACCCTCAGGGACCCCAAAAACACCTTCAGGGACCCCAAAAACACCTCAAAGACCCCAAAAATTCCAGGGACCCCCCCCAAAATCCACCTGGAATCACCAAAATCCACCTGGGACCACCCAAATCCCTCCCGGGGAGCCCACGGTGCTCTCCAGCTTGGACAGCTCAGAGCCGAAAAATGGGGGGTCAGGGACCCCAAAAACACCTCAAAGACCCCAAAAATACCTTCAGGGACACCAAAATTTCATCAGGGACCCCAAAAACTCCCTGGAACCCCAAAATTCCATCAGGGATCCCCCAAATCCCTCCCAGGGAGCCCCAGGTGCTCTCCAGCTTGGACAGCTCAGAGCCTAAAAATGGGGGGTCAGGGACCCCAAAAACACCCTCAGGGACCCCAAAAATACCTTCAGGGACCCCAAAAACTCCCTGGGACCTGAAAAATACCTTCAGGGACCCCAAAAATACCTTCAGGGACCCCAAAAACACCTCAGGGATCCCCCAAATCCCTCCCAGGTGCTCTCCAGCTTGGACAGCTCGTAGCCTAAAAATGGGGGGTCAGGGGGGTCAGGGGACCCCAAAAACACCTTCAGGGACCCCAAAAACTCCCTGGGACCCCAAAAATACCTCAAAGACCCCAAAATTCCATCAGGGATCCCCCCAAATCCCTCCCAGGTGCTCTCCAGCTTGGACAACTCATAGCCTAAAAAAGGGGGTCAGGGGACCCCAAAAACACCTTCAGGGACCCCAAAAACACCTTCAGGGACCCCAAAAACCCCTTAAAGACCCCCAAAACTCCCTGGGACCCCAAAATTCCATCGGGGACCCCAAAAACCCCTCAGGGACCCCAAAATCCCCTCAGAGACCCCTCCAAATCCTCCCTTTACGACCTCAAAACTCCCCCATTTTATGACCCCAAAATGCCCTTTTAGGACCCCAAATCCCGTTCTTTTGATGACACTCCCCCTGTTTTGGGGACTCCCCCATTTCAGGGGACCCCTCCCCCTTTTGGGGCCCCCTCCCCAAATTCGGGGACCCCCCCCGGACTCACTGAAGGCAATGAGGAACTTGCCGTAGCCGCGGCGCTGGTACGGGGGCAGCGTCAGGATACAGGCAACGTTGTTCCCATCGGGAGACTCCTTCTCCTGGGGGGACATTTTGGGGGGATTTGGGGTATTGGGGATATTTGGTGACATTGGGGACGTTGTTCCCGTCCGGGGACTCCTTCTCCTGGGGGGACATTGGGGTGACGCAGGTGACACAGGTGAGATGACACAGGGGAGGTGACACAGGTGGGGTGACACAGGTGACACAGGTGGGGTGACACAGGTGAGGTGACACGGAGTGACACGGGAGGTGACACAGGTGAGATGACACAGGGGAGGTGACAAAGGTGAGGTGACACATTTAGGGTGACACAGGTGGGGTGACACAGAGGAGGTGACACGGAGTGACACGGGAGGTGACACAGGGGAGGTGACACAGAGGAGGTGACACAGGTGGCACAGGTGAGGTGACACAGGTGACACAGGTGGGGTGACACAGGTGGGGTGACAGAGGTAACACAGGTGACACAGTTGAGGTGACACAGGTAACAGCGATGAGGTGACACAAGCAGACAGGGGGTGACAGGAGCACACAGAGGATGACACAGGTGCCCCAGGTGCCCCAGGTGAGTGCCCACCTTGGAGAAGTAGCCCACGATGTGGGCACAGGTGACACAGGTGAGGTGACACAAGTTGGGGTGACACAGTTGGGGTGACACAGGTGAGGTGACACAGGCAGACAGAGGGTGACAGGAGCACACAGGAGGTGCCCCACGTGACACAGGTGAGGTGCCAGGTGAGGTGCCCACCTTGGACAAGTAGCCCACGACGTGGGCACAGGTGAGAGAGGTGACACAGGAGAGGTGACACAGGTGTACAAGAGGTGACAAGGGCACACAGGGGGTGACCTGGAGATGATCCAGGTGCCCCAGGTGAGGTGCCAGGTGAGTGCCCACCTTGGAGAAGCACCCCCTGCTGTGGGCACAGGT